GAATTTAGAGAGCCACTGGTATTCAATTCTAATTTGTTCAAAGCTGCCATCCTCCATTTTTATCTAAACCTCAGACTTAAATGGCCTGGACAGGTCCAGATAAACACATATTTGAGCAAATTTGAGCTTAGTTCTGCTTTCAGTGGCTTCATCAGCATAGAGGGGCTCTCCAACATAGATAGTTATGTAGCTGAGACCTTTTGCAGTCCAGTAATTGAAGTGAACATTGTGAAACATGACCCAAGTGAGAATGCAGCCTAGTTGTGAGGAATGGGTTTGGTTCGCATGGTTCCATTTCATAAGAGAGAAAGGGTGGCCTGCTATAGTCCATGGACCAAGTGATAGCACTCTTTCAGCCTTAGAGTTGGAAGAGAATCTGAAGAAATAAGAGTTCTCTTTACCTAAAATTGTATGTGTGAGACCACGTTTCTTCCAAAGTTTTGTTGCATCTACTTGAATGACTTTAAATGGTATTCTTTTGTGGATGGAAATCCCAACAAGATGAGAGTCAGCCCAAAAATGATAGCCTTCTTGTGCAACTTCTATTGGGGGTTCAATGATGTTGGCTGAGCTGAGGGTGAGGGAGAGGGAAAAATTCAAATTTCATTTTGTCATTTCCTTGTTTGACTACTTTAGTCCAAAGTTTTGCCTGCTGGTTTGTAGGCTGATATAATGTGGCAGTAGCTTTAGAAGACTATGGGTTGGAGACATGGTGTCGTTTGGTTGGGTGAGGTAATTGAATGATAGTAACATGTGGGGCTTGTGGGTTGGAGCATGGTTCCATAGGCTTGTGGGTGTTTGGGATAGGTGATGGGGATGTATTGATTGCAGGTGTAACAGTATCTGTGGCTATAGCTTTTGGTTGTTTATCTAAATTTGGTAGGTATTTAGGGGTTGGAGAGGAGTTGGTAGAAAGGCATGTTGTATCTGTCTTTATATGAGAACTTGGCAATGTGGATGGGAAAGGACCTGGCAAAGTTGAGTTGACCACATTGATTGAATTTAAATTCAAATTCAAATTTGAGTTCAAACCCGGGACCACCATGGGGGCCTATTCATTGGAGGTAGTGGTGGTTGAGGGTGACAAATGGTGGTAAAGTTGAAGTTTGAGTTGAGATTGCTTTGCTTTCAGTTTTGAAATGGTGTTTCTGTAGGTTTGGTGATCTTCAAGGTGAGACTTCTTGTCTACAAGCTGGGCAATTTCCTTCCTCAGTTCTAAAATGATCTGGTTCTTCTCTTTGAATATATCCAAAGCTTTCCCCAGGTTCTCATCCTTCCATTGCAGTTGTTCTGTGAGGTGCTCAATTTGATGTCCAGGGGAGTCATATAGGAGAGGATTAAAGTTTTTTAAGAGCTTGAGGGGTTGGGGGGATGTAGTTTGAGTGTGATCAAATGTGAGTTTCTGAGGGTGGAAGGGTGGATGTCCTTCTGTGGAGGTAATAACAGTGTTGTACCTCGAATTGGGAGGGTGGTTGGGGATGGAAAGGCTTGTCCATTGAGAAATTTTGGCAATGGGGAAGGGTATACTTGAGTAAGTATTGCTGTGGATGAAGGTTTTGTGATGTTGAGAGTGAGTGGAGTGTGGTGTTTATTAGTGTTCAATGGTTTCTTTTGTGCAGTTGGTGGTTTTAGGCGGTTCTGTATGGGGTTAGTCACAGAGGGAAGTTTCAGGTAGTTGGTAGTTATTTGGTGGTGAAGTGGGTTGAGGGTGGAGCTACGGTGGTGAAGGAGATGGGGGTAGAGAGCTTTCTTCTTCTTCATGGTTTTTAAGTTTCCGAATTTACCTTTAACTTTATTGATCATTGAAAATCACGTGAAGTTTTGTGAATATATATAAAAGGTCTTATTAAATGGGTAGTACAAAGTGGGCATGGCTTTGCATTGGAATATCTGGAAAAGTTAAGTAGATGGCGGCCCATTTTGCTTTAGTTGAAAACAAGATGGGATATATCAATTCTAAAAAAGAAATTAGTTGGGACATATATATTAATCTAAAAGTGAATTAGGCATGTGTAACGGGTCTTCTTCACCTGAATTCAGGTAATGCTCTCGTTGCGATCGGGCTATCCTGTTTATTCGGAGTGATCACTCGAACATCTCCAGGCCGAACGCTTGGAGTGACACTCGCCCGATCAAGAACTGAATCTGACTATGATATAAACTATAACGGATCGAGTATTTCGCGATCCAACCCAACAACTTAAGCTATTATGTGATGCTAACACTCCACTCATATATACCCATTACATTTTCCATCCAAATCCGATGCATGACAAATCTCACTCGTAACGGCTCGACATATTAACTCAACAAGTGACTTATTTGGGACATATTAACTCTAAGTTGTGAAATATGTGGGATATATCAAAGTTCATAGTAAAAATTTGTTGCGTCTCATTCTCATGTGCTCTTCACATTTTTGAGCACTTGATTTTCATTGAAATTCACATAAAAACATATTAAATTATATATATATATATATATATATATATATATATATATATATTAATTGGAAATATGAGACTTCTGATATTTTTGCATGCACCACCACCCATTTCAATTATGAGTTTTTCATGACCGCTTCAATTTGCATAACTTGGATTTAAGATTGAGCATATTAAAAGAATTACTATACTACAAATGTTGTATAACATGTATACCAACAAAACAAAACAAAAAAAAAAAAAAAAAAATTAAGCAGGAATTAATGTTCTATAAGGTTGCAATTGGATGAATGTTCAATCTCATCTATAGTGGGTTGTGAGTAAAAAAAAAAAAAATTGTACAAGAATTTATTTGTTTGACAGTTCTTAGAACATTTTTATGAAAGCTCAATTAAAAAAAAAAAAAAAAAAGATTTGTTTTGAGAGAATTATATTTTATAATTATTTTAAAATAGTTTTTTATTTTATGAATTTTTTATGACAATTTTTTATTTTATAAATTTTATTGAGTATATTTTACGTTAAGGGACCAAATATTACATCGAGGATGGAAAATTGATCCAAACACTCGTACATAAAATTTACATAGAAATTGTAATACTTATGCAAAATATTAATCTAGCTTCAACATATTAATTGAGATACAATTACGTAATGCTATTAAGTGAAGAATACAACATTTTTATTATTATTGCACTCTTGATTTTTTTTTTTTTCTTCCCTTAGAATACGGGTATCGGCCCCACAACACATACACCATTCAAGTCAGGAGTGCGAGACCCCAAAGACTTACCTTCTGAATCCCTACCAACACCGCTATATCCCTAAGAATGTTACACTCTTGATTTTATAGGATTATGACATTAATTTAATATTATCTAGTTGATATTACATTTTTCATTTAATTGCTTTCAAACGTAAGCTCTTTACGCATTTGAAGAAAATTTTAGCATTTACACTTATATGATTACGAAGACGTACAAATCATAAAATATTTATAACTTGAATGGATAGTAAAAAATGACATCAAAGTAAATTCTCAAAATATTAAAAAAAAGGTAAAGTACAAAGACATCCCCTCAAGTTTGATACAGTAACCAAAGACACCCCAATGGTAATGAATTGACATTTTTGCCCTTTGACTTTTATATTGACCCATGTGAATATTGAAATTACCTTTCTAACCTCTATATTTTTAGATATATATATATATATATATATATATCCCTCAATAATTTGTATATACACATATATATAATCAACGGAGAAGACGGCGCGTCCTTTACCTCTGTGCCAACAGTGGCCCGCTCCTCACCGGCTCATGATTCTTGTACAGAGCTTCGACGAGTCCATGGCAGAGAGCTCCGCCAACGGCCGTGGCCCACTCCTCGCCAACGCATAATCTTCTACAGAGCTCCAGCTATTCCATTGCAGAGAGCTCTGTCGACTCTAGATCCTTCGAATTCGACGAGGCCGACCCTAGATCCGCGGCCCGCCTTCAATTCCATTGACCCATAAAGCCCCATAGTTGCTGATGAGATAAGTGCGGCGATGGTGAATGGATGTTGTCGCCGTCGTCGCTGCATATTACCCACCACCATAACATTATTGTCACAAATCGCTGCTAAGCTGCACTCTCTCTCTCTCTCTCCCTCGTGGAGGTGACTGCAACAGCTAACTAGTGATTTCGAACTCCGACAAGTCACAAAAAAATTCGGCCAATAAAATCCTCATCTCCGTTCCAAAATCAAAGATCTTATCTTCAACGGTGTGCCCTCTGTTTTATTTTTTAATTATTATTATTATTATTATTTTATTTTTTATTTTTTATATATTTTTTTTGTAATTTGTGTTCTTAGACCGTTCTTAATTTGTATTTTGTTCAATTATTTATTTTGTTAGGTATTAATTTTCAATGATATTGAACATTGCGGAACGATTCGCCAATGAGGACAATCTGCAGATTGCTGCCGGAAAGGACGCGCCGTCTTCTCTGTTGATTATATATATGTGTATATACAAATTATTGAGAGATAAATAAATAAATCTAAAAATATAGAGGTTAGATTTCAATATTCACATGGGTCAATATAAAAGTCAAGGGCAAAAATGTTTATTTATTACCATTGGGGTGTCTTTGATTACTGTATCAAACTTAAGGGAATGTCTTTGTCACAAAATAGGCTAAGTTTCATCTACATGTCCTTACCCTAAACCTCATGGGGTGTCTATGTACTTTACCCATTGAAAAAAGAGAGAATATAAAAATGATATTAGGAGAAGGGGTGACACAAAGAATGTTTTTGGATTTCAATGTGTTTTAGGCATTATGCTCCGTACCTACCAAAACACATAATATGACCAATTTGGTAATATGCGTTTTGGACAAAAAAAAATATATATATATTCAACTATGTGTTGAACTATTCCAAATTAATATTAAGGTTCCAAACATGACGTGGATCTAAATACTAATATAAAATATATATATATATATATATATATATATATATATATATATATAAAATATCATAACACTTCTCAGACAGGCCCAAAATGTACCGCATTGGTCTCCTCCTGTTCAATACTAGAAAATTTCTCCATTTTGGCAACTGACCCTTTTCTCTTTTTTTAACCTGGCCCAAAGTCTGTATTTTGTTTACTTGCGTTATATATAGGGAGAGAGTTTCTCCATTCTTTAGAGGAGCACCCATCCGTGAGATTACGCTTCTTCTTCTTCTCTCTTTACACGCATCGTCTTCTTTGTTTCAGATTTCGACCTTTGAATACGGTCTTCTGTTTTCAGCCACACATTTAGTCTATTGATTCGCGTTGGGTGAAGATTTGCAAAGCATTTCAGAAGGGTTTCGGAGAAATTCTCACAGATTGGGCTTGTCTTTTTCGTTCTCCGAAGGTGATATTTGTCTCATTGTTTGATTTACTTGCTTGATAGATTTCATTGTTTCGCATTTTTTTTCTCTTGCCCTAAGTTTAATTGAATGAGATCTCCATCATTGCAAGCTAAACAGAGAAAGTGATTCCGTTTTTATTTTTTTATATTTTATAATTAGGAAAAGATTGAAGAATTTTAAATTTCATTGTGTTCCTATAACTGTACCAAATCCTTGTGACATTTCAATAATTTTTATTCCAAGAGGATAAATTTTATATTTGGATAGAATTTCCATATACTATTGGTGCTAAAGGAAACACTAAATATTTGGGAAATTTGGCTGAGTTTTTGTTAATTAATGTTAAGAAATATGATCATTTTGTTAGTAGTTAGTTAATCAACGTGATATTCGGACATATTCAAATATTATTAAATATTTGGATCAAATATCAGTTACTGATTTGAAAGTCAGTCTATTAGGTAAAAATAATTAGAAAAAATGATTCTTTGAATTTGACCATAAAATAATCGACTTAAGATTTAGTTTTATATACTTCGGTTGAGGTTTAACATATTGAATTAAGGAAAAAAATTTATTAAAATTTGGAGAATTTAGTTGAAATTCAAAAAATTTATTCATTTTATTTTTAGGGAGACATGGAAACATCTCAGGCGAAGAGGAATCAACTCTTGGTAATGCTTTTCAAGCAAAGTAAGATAATATGAGGCAGGTGTTTTATGAATAAGAGAGACAGAGAGAGGGATGCAGCAGGGCTAGTTAACAAATAGGTGGGTGAGATAGAGGACGGAGGATGGATTCATGGAGAATAGAGGAGGAGATGCACTTTGTATCCATATATATAGAGAAAGAGGGTAGGTGCAGTCAGTTTGCTTTATGCTGTTGTCAAAAAGAACCTTTTAACAGGGTTGTAAATGAACCAAGCTTTCCATGAATACCTTAGGAATCTAGCTCATTTTTAAACTAATGAATGAGCTTGAGTTGATTTCTTTAAGCTCATATGATAAACAATTCAAGTCCAAACTTATCTGGCTTGATTCATCTAGACTCGTCAACAAGGGGTATACAGATATTTCAAAGAATTGGCACTTTCTTTCATTCCAATTCAAAAATCACTTTTCATTATGTTTAATGTTGATCAGAGTCTATTAAGGTCATGTAAATTAATCTTAAACCAGTTTTGTCCTAGGATCCACTCAGTCAAATTTATTATCACCTAACGTGTTATTCAAGTCCATCCTAACTGTCTATTTCAAATTACCACATGATCATCACGTTGTCTTTGTGCAATCTTCAATCACTTTCTTTTTTTCCTTTTTTGTTTTTGGTATACCAAATCTGCTGGTGAATCAAGATGGCTAACTAATCCAGATTGACCCGAACCAACATACGGCTTGACCAATTACGGTTTACTGCAAATGTTTTAATAACTGAAAGCCTACACAGAATGCAGAACACTTAAAATTTTAAGTGAGTGAGACTTCACTCATCACTGAATATTGAACACTTAAATCCCGGATCTTAAAAGTTTCAATGCTTAGTTTTCAATTTATCAATCAGCACCTAAATTATATTTCATCCTGTTTTCTATTAGAATACTGATGGATTTTAATTTTTGAGTTTTTTGTGCTATTTGATATACGTTTACCTCACAAAATGAATTTAATATTGATCTTGTCAAATGTTTGAGAAAATGGACTTATTCATGCCAAATTGGTATGAGAGTGAAAATTTGAAAATTCTGAGATGTTGAATTGGTTGGTAAAAGGCATAATTCCTTTATATGGTGAAATGTCAAACGTTATGTGATACATAACACACTAAGGGGCACTAGTGTCCTTTTAAGTTACTTGAAGTGATAAAGTTCCTATGGTTAAACTTTGATGCACTCGAAGTAGAGCAAAGTGAATCTATACTCAGCATTCAATTGTCCCTGACTAGTAGGTGGGGAATCAGTCTAGAAGATCTATTGAGCCCTACCACTTCGTTAGCTGACTAGCATAACTTTCCGTTGCACATTTGTTGAAGGACTTGTGTGTCTTAGTAGAATGAACCAGTTTCTTTGTTTCAGTGGGCTATTTCATGACAGTCACCAATTCAGATAGATGGCAGGATGCTATTAGTCAATTCTTAATATTGTAGTTCTAGGTGCCATTGCTAGATTGAGATTTACAGGGTTTCTTTAGATTAAGATTTGTCAGGTGGTACGCAATTTGCCAACCTTATATCAAGTGAAGAGAATGGGGTGGTAAGCATAGTAGCTCTCATACCTATAATATAACAGTTATAAACAGTATGTTTTAACCAATTAAATAAGTCCCGATGGATCTCTAAATGCAATTTGTTCATTTTGAAATCCGACAGAGTATTGACATGTTAATGCAGGAGCTACTGGTTTAAGTCCAATAGTCCTGAGAATTAAATAAATACATCAATACATGGTTTCATAAATTTTTGTAATAGGCAAAGCTTGGTATTCTCTCTATTTGATAATTGGCACAGTTGCTGAATCTAAATTTGGGAAACTTAGCACTATGTTTGACATTTAAAATTGCTTTCAGAATATAATTTTTTATTTGTTGGGACTTGTTTTATTATGAATGGATATTTGGTGCCCTGCATTTCTTGTTGCATGCTTATGAAGAGCAGTATTTCCTATTAGTCCGTCGAGTTCATATCTGTAAATTTTTATTTATGATATTTGGCATTTAAGATTACAAGTTTCTAGTATTTAGAACTTCAATAATTGGCTGAAATAGTGGGATATGTGAAACATGGATTGAAAATTCTTTATGTAGTTATTTGGGATTGTCGCGAAGTAGGAAGGTTAGAACTTGTGTTCTTAATCGGTCTCCCTCCCTTGAAAGGGTACTGCCTCTTATAACCTGTCAACCTACTCTCAAAATTTTGGATCGCTTGGCCCTTACTGCTTTGTATCTGAAAGAAGACCTTAACGGCAATCCCATAGAATACCTCAACGGCAATCCCATAGGAGAGTAACCACCCTGAACCCCAACACTGAAACTAAATCCTCAATGTGCTCGACGTCACCCATTGAAATAATCACTTACCACGTTTGCCTATCCCAACCTTCTCAGCACCTCAAAGCAAACACCTTACCTGATTAACTTCTTGCTGTAAAAGATAACAGTGTCATTGAGTACTAAAGGTGAGACTATCTCATAGAATGCCACACACTCACCCTTGGCATTCTGGGAACTGGAAAGGTCCATCAGATCTGCCCAGTCCTTAATAGCCTTCCACTAAGAGCTTCCACTCAATAACAAACAATGGTGCAGAGAGGGGACTTCTCTGATTGACCTCCTTGAAGAGACAGAATTCAAAGGGAGACCCATTGACCTGCACCAAAAACCAAACCGTCAATATACACCATATAATCCACGTCCTCCACCTCTCCCTGAAGCCTCTGAACTCCAGATGTGGTAAAGCTTTCTCTATATCCAGCTAGCAAATGATGTCCGCACCCTGCTCCTTTAACTTGCGCTTATATGCTCACTAGCCACCAAGGCCACATGAAAGAGCTGCTTACCACCAAGAAAAGTACTCTGCAAATACCAACCACTTTTCCAACCAACTTCCTCAGCTTCATACCCATACTTTGTTTACAAGTTTGTAAATGTCACCAGGTTGATATCCCTGAGTTACTCATTTCTTTCCCCTCATTCAGTCTTGGTTTATCAATTTCCTGAGTTGCACTTAAATTTTTCAGAACATTTCACTATGGCTCATCATGACATGCAGAGTTGGAAATGGACAAATATATATGGTCAGTTTAGTTAATTCACACTAACACACTTGTAGCTGTGTCCTTGTATCTAAAATTTGTGTAGTTGTCTCTAACGTCCGGACGGTGAATAACTTTTTCAGTGTCCATGAAGCATTGGGCTATGTAAAAGTTGAACCGAGAGTCCCTAATTTTTATGGAAACAGGGCCATCCTCCAGCCAACCACATTTATGTAGTGAACTTAAAACCATCACTTAAGAATAGCACCAAACTAGAAGTTGATTTCATAGTTCATCATTCTTTGACCTTCTCTGTAATTACCCAAGCTGCAGATGTGCCAATTTTTCTTTTCCCTTTTTAGTTGGAGAAATTATTAGATGGTCCAGACCATCATAGGACATAGGCCACTTTGTAGTCCAGTCCAATGAAAAACCATGTTTAAGGTTTTTTTTTTTTTCTTTTTTTTTTTTTTTTTTTTTTGTAATATCTTATTAAATTCTTGTGGGAGAATTTTAATTGAACAGGACCATGATTGTGTTACGTTCACATATTGAGTCTCCATAATAGTGTTACATTCTGCTGGTCTAAGGAAATTGGTCTAAAATCAAATGAACTTTGATAAACCTTAATATATGTATATATATTACGCAAGTTAGAGCAAACACGTGCACACACACACTCTCATACCTACAATATGCCTCTAATGGGGCTAGAACTCTCAACCTCCCATTTGGAGGAAAGAGATCATACTGTTCAGCCTAGAGGCCCGGTGGTAAGCTTAAAATATATTAGTGGACAGTGAAAGAAAAGGCAGGCCGGTAGTGTTCTGATGTTACTGAAAATAATCTCCACGGTGCTGTGCCTGTGCATCTGTGTTCAGCAAACATGCTTCCATTTGTCTTCCTTCCTTAGACATTGTTAGGTTGTTATAAGCTCAAGAAGAGAGTTCTAAATTGACTTCAACATTTTGTTATTGTTGTGGATACAACTGGATACTGTGTTTTTCTTTATGTGATATTTTTTTACTTGTGATTAAAACCCTTTGGTCCGCAAAAAATTCTACGGCATTTCATTCTTCTTTGATTCCTCAAAGAAATGAAAACCGAGAGATTTCTTATATTACGAAGTAATTTTCTGCTTGGCGATAGAATTGATTTTTAACATACTTCCTTGTGTGGGTCTACAGTAGTAGAAGCTGAAAAGCAATGCTATTATTACTGCTCAAGAGTAATTGAAAAGCATCTAGGAACAAATTAGAAGATAAAGATGCAATGGGAGCATCCAGTGGACCAAAGCTCTCGGGGATGCAGAAGCAAGTGCTTGGCCTATACAGAGGTTTTCTGCGAGCAGCACGCTCCAAATCCCCTGAAGACCGACGCCGAATTGAATCAGTTGTGTCAGCCGAGTTCCGTCACAATTCCAAAGTAGTTGATCGCAAGAATTTCATCTATATTGAGTACTTGCTTCGCCGTGGCACGAGACAGCTTGATCAGCTCAGGAGCCCCGGCACTGTTGGATTATCATCCTTGAATGTAGATCCCACCCAATCCAAAAAATCACAAGGCTAAAATTAGTATCATGGCTTTTTCTTTATCTTCTTTCCGCGGCTGGAATTGATTTGTTTCTATCAGTCTATCATTAGAGGAATTATAATTCTTTATGTTTAATCTCTAACATTACAGGTATAAATAGACAATAATTTTTTTGTCTTATTTCAATACCTTTAGAACTTCTCTTCTTTTGCTTTTGGTAATTGATTTTTCTTTGTATAATAATAGGTTTGAGATGAGGGCACTAGTTACCATTACATGTTGTCATTGGCAAGAAGCCCCAACGAGGGTGAGAAAAAATAATTGTCACTTCTTAGCATTTAATTTTTAAATTTGGTGGCTTCATATTTTCTTGATTTTAGGGTCATTTAGACCCATTTTGTTTAGGTGTGGTCATTAAAATATATTTTTTCCTAAAAATATAAACATTTGAACGAATACTACCCTCATTAAGAGCTTAAAGTTTATTGGACCGAATACTACCCTCACTAAGAGCTTAAAGTAGTTTCACAGCAGATGGTTGTTAACTTGTTATCACATTATCAGAGGCAAAGTTGAGTCCAAACTTCACTGTCACTCTGAAAAAAAAAAAAAAAAATGAAAACACAGTGTTGGATTAAAAGAATGCCACACGTGTCTGGGGGTGTTGAATGATTTAAGTAATAAAGTTACAAACTTTTTAACAATTTAATCTTTTAAAATATATGGTTGATGACAAAAGAATGTTAATAGAGCCTTTTTAAAATAGACGGTGTTTTTTTTTTTTTTTTTTGTTAAAAATAGATGGTTGCTAACAAAAGAATGTTAAATAGAGTTTCGTGAATGGCTGTGGGAAAGGAAAAAAAGTAACAACTGATAGAAACACGAACACAATAGCAAATTAAATATAATGACACAATTTTTGTGAGAAACAAAATTATCCATGTGCTTTAGAATAATTTCATTAACGACCTTAATAGAACCCTAGTAGCTTAGAGCTAACTAAATTTTTTGCCCTAACTACAAGGGATGTTAACTATAATTATGATTAAAATTCAATATGATAATACAAGAGGATTTATAAGTTACAATAAAAATCACATTATAAGAATATCTCTGAATAGAAAAATATATAATAGCAAATTACGACTCAATCATATCGATACCAATCAGGAACAAAGTTAATTTTGTGCACTTGAAATTATATAATAATAATGTATTAAAAGTGACACGTTAATTAATGTACCAAAAACTCTGAGGATATAGTTAGTTATAAGAAACACATCTCACATCAAGAAAATTTAGAGTTCAAATTTCTCAGGGGTCACTCTCTTGAAATTCAGAGAAAGAATATGAGAATTAACACTCTATTCAATATTATTCACGATGGTATTATATTTAATTTATAAAATAATACCTAACTAAAATAGGTAACTAAATATACAATAATTGAGAAACTAATTACCTACCAATTAGCCCTAAATCAAGGAGTAAATAATTCAATCCTACAGCTGTAAAATCTGTTTAATCCTGGATTACAAGCGGTAAAATCTCAACACTCCCTCTCAAGTTAGTGCATAGATGTCACACATGCCCAACTTGTCTAAAATTTTTGAAAACACTTGATTTGAGACTGTTTTGGTGAGAATGTCGACTAGTTGATCCTCAGATCGAATTTTAAGCAACTCCACAATTTTTCCATCCAACTTATCCTTAATGAAGAATCTGTCTATTTCAACATGCTTCGTATGATCATGTTGAACTGGATTATGGGCAATATCACATGCTGCTTTATTGTCACAATATAGTCGAATCGGTTGTCCAGATAGATAACCCAAATCTTGTAAGAGAAGTCTTAACCACAAAGTTTCACAAAGTCCAAGTGCCATACATCTGAATTCAGCTTCTGCACTCGAGCGAGTAACAACATTTTGTTTCTTACTTCTCCAAGTAACAAGATTACCTCCTACAAAAGTGAAGTAACCAGAAGTAGATCGCCTATCATCTATAGCTCCAGCCCAGTCAGCATCAGTATATGCATCTATGTTTTGATAAGCAGCATTTTTAGTGAACAAAATTCCTTTTCCAGGAGCATATTTCAGATACCTTAAAATGCGCATAACTGCATTCATATGTTGCTCTCCAGGATCATGCATAAACTAGCTAACGATGCTCAATGCATAAGTCAGATCCGGTCTCATGTGTGCTAAGTACATCAATCTCCCTACAAGTCTTTGGTATCTTCCTTTATTAGCAGGTACTTGGTTGGACTCAACAGATAACTTCAGTCCTTCTTCCATTAGTATCTCAGCTGGTTGACATGTTGTCATGTCAGTCTCTTGTAATAGATCTAAGGCATATTTTCTTTGAGATAGAAAGATTCCTTTATTAGTCAAGATACTACGATCCCAAGAAAATATCTTAAAGGACCTAGATCTTTCATTTCGAATTCTCTGGATAAATAATTCTTGAGAGCCTTCATTTCTTCAAGATCATTCCCTGTAACCACCATGTCATCTACATATACAATGAGTGCAGTGATCTTACCCTGTTGTTTCTTCAGGAATAATGTGTGGTCTAAATTGCTCTGACGATAGCCAAAGGCTATCATCGACTTTGTGAATCTTCCGAACTATGCTCTCAGAGATTGTTTCAACCCATATAATGATTTCTTTAACTTGCTGACTTTCCGACTATACTTTTCGGGTATCATGCATCATGGTGGGAGATCCATGTAGACTTGTTCAGATAATTCACCATGCAAAAAGGCATTCTTCAAATCGAATTGTTGCAATGTCCAATCCAAGTTCGCAGCTAAAGACAAGAAGACACGAACTGTGTTGATTTTGGCTACAGGTACGAATGTCTCTGTGTAATCGATTCCATAGGTTTGGGTGTAACCTTTTGCCACCAATCTTGCTTTAAAACGTTCAACTGTGCCATCAGCTTTATACTTCACAGTATAAATCCATCGACACCCTACTGGTTTCTTTCCTAGTAGAGGATCAATGAGTTCCCAAGTTTTATTTTTCTGTAAGGATTTCATCTCCTCTTTCATAGCTACTTTCCACCTAGGATTAGCTAAGGCTTTCTGCACACTGTTAGGAATAGATATAGTAAATAATTGATTTACAAATGACAAATTTGATTCTGACAAATGATGGTTTCTACACATAATGACTCATGAGTTACTTAACTTTACTAGAGAGTTCGAGTTCATATGTGGGTTTAGAAATACCTCTAGTGTGACGCTGTGGTAATTGTTTTCTGAGTGGCTCAGGCACTAAATCAGGAACATCCTCAGCAAGCGATTGGTTTATAAAATAATACCTAGCTAATATAGGTAACTAAATATACAATAATCGGGAAACTAATTACCTACCAATTAGCCCTAAATCAAGGAGTAAATAATTTAATCCTACAACTGTACAACCTGTATAAGCCCGGATTACAAGCGGTAAAATCTCAACACACTCCCTAAAAAGTTTTAAAGTAATTTTCTAGTGCATGTGGGACAAGGGGGTTATATATCACAATGGATTTACGGAGTCTTATAAAAGGCTTAACACCAAGAAGAAAGAAAAAAAAAAAAGAAGTGATCCATCAAATTTGTGCATAAAATACTCAACTAAACCTATTTTTTATTCAAACATAAACTAAAATAGATTTTTTCATTCATTTAACCTTAATATAGCAGTAATTCTAACCAAATTGTACCTAAGGTTGCAAATGAACCGAGCCGAGCTTGAATCTGTTTGGGTTCGGCTCATTCATTTAAGGGCTTAGCTCGGGATCGTGACGAGATCAAAAAGCTGAGCTAAGGACTGGGTCATCATTGTTTTGAAAAGCTTGGCTTCAACTCAAGTAATAACAAAAATCGTTCGAGCTCCATTTTTGTTCGTGTTCACGATCATTTTTGGCTTGTTCATGAATTTATACGAGCCTACATAAGTCTATATTCATTAGCTTATTGTGTTCATGAACCTATACAAGCCTATGTTTATGAACGTATTCACGAGCCTACCTATGTTCACAAGTTAAACCCAATATTATAAAAGATCAGCTCGTTACCAAACAAACCTAGAAATTAAGCTTAAGCTTAATTGGCTTGTTTGCTTAACAAATTAAAAAGTCCTAGCCAAACCCGTGAATAGCTTGATTTATTTGCAGTCTTAATTATACCAGTACAATGCAAACCTAATGTGAAGTATTGTTGTGATACAAGAGTAGATTGCATATATTGTAGTATATATACTAAAAAAAAAAAAATTGACATGAGAGATATACTTGTGCATTAGTACATATAAAGAGAGCGATATTTGAGAAGGGAAAATTTCTTTTAGGCCGAAGCAAGTCGAATAAACATCAATAAAAAAAGGGTTAAGTGCAAAATACCCTAAAGGTTTATAATGCATATCATACCCCTCACGTGTAGAAAACACTCACAAAGTTTCAATTTAGTGCAAATAGGTTCCGCTAACAAATTTAAACCCTAAGGGCATGTTTGGTGTGGTTGAATGAATTGGAATGGAATGAGAATGGAGGTGGGAATGGAACGAGAAGAGAATGGAATGGGAATGATGATTCTTATTCTACCGTTTGGTTGCAAACATGGAATGTGTAAAAGTAGAATGATCATTCTCATTCCTGTGTTTGATAAGAAAGTTGGAATGGAATGAAATTATATTGTTTCTTTAAATTACATTTTACTATTAGTAAAAAAAATTAACTAAAAAAATTAACATCTACAAAAATAAAAGGAAGAAGAGATAATAGAAAGAGAAAATAGATGAGATAGAGAGAGAAAATAGACGAGAAAAAGAAACAGAGGGGCAAAAAGAGGCGATGGAGAGAAGTAGGTGATCGAACAGAGGGGAGGCGTCGCCGCCGCCAGAGAATCTGTATTCGGCGGTGGTGTTTCTATGTATCCGGCAGTGGTGTTTCTAATTGAGACCACCGATCATATAGCAGCAAATCACAGACGAAGGTCCAATGTACCAAGACGAATACAACGGTGTAAAGAACAACCCCATACGACGTTACATGTGCCAACACGCGCCATCTGAAGTTCTGCGCTTAGATCTCACTCGCCCGACAAATTTTCTGATCATCTCCTCCGGCGACGTTCTCCGACGAATTTTTGCAAACTGGTCTAGATCATTCATAGTCGCTGCAGTTTCAGT